GGGCTATGGTTCTCAAAACTTTTATAAAAAAGAATAACCGGGGGCCGGCCGAGTGGCGTGGTAGTTAAGTTCACGCACTCCGCTTCAGAGACCTGGGGCTCAGATCCCAGGCATGGACCTACACACAGCTCATCAGGCCATGCTATGGTGGCATCCCACATACAAAATAGAAGACTAGCACAGATGTTAGCTTAGCGACAATCTTCCTCAGATATTAGCTCAGGGCCAATCTTCCTCACCAAAAAAAAAAAAAAAAGAATAACCAAAGGCACCTGTTAAAATGCACCTTCCTATGTCTTTTCTTCAGAGAGTCTGATTAAGAGGGTTGAGGGGGGAGCCCCAAATCTCCTTTTTTGTAACTAAGCTCTCCCAGTATTTCCAATGCCAGTGGTATGCAAACTTGATCAACATTACACACAGTATTTAAAACACGGTCATCGCCACCACCAGTTATTCCAAGGCTTCACTCATATAAATGGACACCTGGTGAACATGATTTGAAGTAAATAATTTTGCCAACATTTCTTATCTATTTTTAAAAGGTAAATGACTCTGTGCTGTGTGGTTTAATTTCAAAAATATTGCCACAATTTGATCAACAGCAATATCTTCAGGTCTAGAGGTCTTTTTTCCTAGGATCTTTGAATATCGCATTTAGGTCATTTTATTCTTTAAAGTAAGAAGAAACTTTTTGTCATTAGTCAATTGTAGTGAAGAAGGGTGTTCATGTACAAACTCCTACAGAAAAGAAAAATTACACCAAAATCATATACGTGAATTTAGTATTTTCAGGTATTCTAAACACAGTAAAGTTAGGGAGAGTCTTGGTGATGTTTCTGGTCTAACTACTTCATTTAGATGAGGAAACCAGAACCTAAGAAAGTGAAGTGTCTTGCCCAAGAGCATAGAAATAGAAGAGCCAAGAGTGTCTCTTTGATGAGGCTTCACCCACTACGACACCATGAAGTGCTGTACCCCCTGGGCTGTCTCTCATATTGTCAGTAATTCACAGGTGCTGGGGGGGAACCATGGCTCCAGAAGCAGGCTGGACTCTAGTTAAAATCACTGTCAGTGTTGGTTCCTGAGCACAAACCACTTGAGAGCTGAACAGCTGGCCCCCAAAGTATGCTAAGAAGTCAAGAATAAGATAAATCATCTGGGGTGAAACCTTGCTCTAGATAATACAAAAACCCTACGTGTGACCTGCAGGACTGTAAGAACTAGCCCTCTTACAGAAGAGATGTTTCAGGCTTAGTCTATATGTAGCTATAAAGTTTGAGAAATTCGGGTAAAAAATAATTTCTGGAGGAAAGGGGAGTATGTTGACCTATTCCTGCATATTGACCAGGTCACTTGGCCACAGTTATGTACAGTGAACTCGAGACAGGCCTGCAGAGAACAATTATGTCCTGACTCTGTGAGGTGTGGTTTAATTCCAGCCACACTGCATCTGAAACAAACCTTCTCTGTTATTGATTTACATAGGTACCGAGGAGACAGGATCAACATCTAAGACTATACAACTAATCTAAAATTTATTAGAATTCAAGGTGGGAGTTAAAAGCAAAAATTCCTATTAGAAACCTAGCCTGAAGTATATATATAGGAAAACATACATATTATGTTATTATCAACATGACTTAGTTTGTGCCAATCATATTGGCAATCTGATTTGGATGTGTTTGTATTTAATGGGCCAAGTTCTCAATATAATTACAACCCTTCTGAGACCGCGGCAGTAGTTCTTGCTCGGATTTTACTTTGGGGAATGGCATTTGAATGGCTTTTGCCTTATTCAGCCATAAGCAGGTTATGGGCTCAGCGCTCAGCGTAGGGGTTGGCAGTGCCCAGCATATGGTGTGTGGTGTGTTGCTCTATGCACTAAGCCACAAAGCAGTGATAGCAGGTAATTTGGGGAGGTTCCATCACACTTCATGTGGAAAACCGAGTTGTCTCTGTTGGAGCTAAGGTTAATGGTTTGGATTTGCATGTGTTTCTACCATTTTGATTTTACGTGGTTTTTGAATTGAAAACAAACAAAAGGCCTGATGTATAACCCACATAAATAAAGCTTACCATTCTCAAAGAGGCCCCAAAAATGTTTCATTTATGTGACAAGCTATTACTTTGGCTACTAATTTTTAGGGAATCCAGAGAAAGGCATTGCAAACAAAAACCTAGTATTATAAGAAGAATTCTCCTGTGATATTCACATAAATAGGCTACTTAAAAATGGCTTGAGGGAGAGGAAATCCCTACAGACCCAGGTGTGCCCTCCATTTCAGGCAGAAGGACTGGTTTGGGTGTTCAGGGTCCCCAGGCCCAGGAATCTTTGATTTTATGCCTCATTCCTTTCTGGCACAGTGGCAGAGGTGCCATCTGGAAAGTCCAGGGTTTCTGAGTAGAGATGGGGCACCCAGGAAGTCCAGTGTATGTGCACCAGGTGCCAGGGGAGGTAAGCAGGTGTGTGCTGTGGAACAGCGCCAGGTCACCTGCCCCCGCAGCATGGGGAGGGAATACCCCCACCCCGACGGCCCTGCCTAATGTGGCCATCTGTTCACCACCAGCCATCACCAGCAGCCATGTCAGCACAGAAGAACACCTCAAGTGCTCCTTGGTGGCGGCAGAGCTGTAAACTGCTTTCTCCTGCCTTGGACTCTATTCCTTTACTTTTCTTGCTCAGCTGTCTGTCCTTGAAAAATAACAGCAAAATAACTTCAACTTTTTGAGGCTGCTGCTGCGGCAGCTCCTAATAACTCCTAATAATGAAGTGCAAGAGACTGTTAAGATTTGTCTTGCTTGATTTTTACTCACCGGCCTCTGTGATAGTCCTGATTGGGCTGCAGTGTGATCATGGATGCATGAAGCAGCACAAATCCAGGAGGGCAGGTAACCAAGTGCCTACGCCTCCTTCAGTCTTTGCTGTCACCGATAGAGGAAAGAGCGTTCTACGAGAATCTGCTCCAAAGTTTCTGAGTGGAAGGAATGGGGCAACCTGAAATGGACTAAGAGGAAGGGAAAGCTTGAGCCTTCCTCGGAGGGGCAGTGTGGTGTGGACTGAGAATGGGCTCTGAAATCAAACATCTGGTTTAAAAATCCTTGTTGGTCAGTCTGGGTTGACCAACACCCCATCCAAAAGGCGTAATATCACAATGTCACAGTTTCCCAAATTGTAAATGAGGAGGAATAATATCTTCTCCATAAGGCTAATAAGAGGGTTGAAGGAAAATGTACATGTAACATGTGTAGCACAGAGTAAGCAGCGTTTGCCTGTTGATAAAGAAGTAACTAAAACCTGCTTTCCGTCACAGAAGTCAGAATCAATGTGATGGGCTAACCAATTCCCTTTCAGAAAGAACGTGATACTGCAGACCCAGTAGCCTCTGAGCAGCCTAAATAAACTTCTCTCTCATTGTAAAGCACGAGAATCTACAGGCTGATATAAACTTACATGCTTTATGTATCGTCCCTGTTGGAGATTTACTGAAGAAGGATGGTGGCAACAGAATAGCAATAGAGACGAGAAAGTACTCCAGATATTATACAACTACATGCATGCTTAGAGCACGCCAGGGACCTCAAAAGGACCAGAGTTCATGACATGATGCCTTGCAGTGATATCATACCTGCCATTACTGGCTTTGCAAATGTGAGTTCAATTTGACAGTTATTAACATCTACTATAAATCTACCATGCAAGGTATATTGCAAAGGTAGCTGAAAGGACTTTGCTATCAGTAACTAGGCAATCGCATAGAAAAGAAATTGAATATCTTGCAAGTTCTGTTTACATGCTTAATAAAGGGAACTATTTCAGATTCTGCCTCAACTATTAATAAACTGATCTAACCAGCTCTTTCCAAAACAACAAAAAGAGCTACTCTTACTTTGTACCAAGAAACAAACATTTTACATATACTATATAACTTAACAATGGCACTCTGAAGTCAGTATCCTCATTTCACAGATTAGGAAATTGAGGCTCAGAGAAATGAAGTAATTGGCCTGAGGTCACACATTCAGTTGCAAAGGCAGGATTTGAAAGCTTCTGAATCAAATGTGCTCTAAACGCCTGTGCTCTACTCATCAAGCAGTCTGAGTCACTCTTGTCCTACTCCCTGTATGGACCATCACTTTCTTATCTTCAGAAAAGGATGCGTTCAGGATTATTGGTGAAGAGAGACCTGTGAGGATGCTCACTGGTACTCAGGGCAGAGTGAGAGGTGAGGTGGCACAATGAACAAGCATTTGCCTGGAAGGCAGGAGGCCGAGCTCAAGTCGTAATGTGGTTTCTTCCTCATTGTGTGATGTTGCGCCCATTACTTATCTTTAAGCCTAGTATCCTCACCTATCAAGTTTTCTCCTTCATACAATTGTGGTAATATAGGTGAATCTGCTTTCCTATTCATAAGGCTCTAGGCAAATGCCATTTATTATTATAGTTCAGTTAGTTTCTGTTCCACTATTGACTTGCTCTTGAATCTTTGGAAATACTTCCTGCCACCTTAACTTTCTTATCTATAAACTGGAGCTGATGATACAGCATCTTTTAGTAACACCCTCCAGCAACCGTTCTCAAACTTTAGTGACCTAGAATCTTTTGGCATGTTGTTAAAACAGATTCCTGGGTCCTGGTGGTTATGATCCGGCACAGCTGGATGGAGCCTTGTAATATTCACTCTTAACAAGGATCCCACATGATCACTCTCAAAAATGCTGCCCCGCAAGCTCAATATTACAAAGAAAACTGTGGTACCCGCGGGTAGAAAATTTGCCCAGGATCACCTGTAACGCGGCCAGCACCGAGCCCTTGAGTCCTGATACCTAGATCCTCTTGTTCTGACCACGCGACTGGGACTCAAGAGAACATCAAAACCCTCTCCCAGTCACTGGGTTTCTATCAGGAGTTTGATTCTGGAGTGCACAGCTGAAGCTTTCAGCACTCCACAGACATCTTTAAAAGGCTAACTAAGTGTCATTGCCTTCTTCTTCCTCTGCAGACACATTTGCAAGCAAAGTGGCAGCCACCCAAGACCAGTACGCAGATGCATCCATAGGTAACGTCACTGGCAGCAACGCGGTGAACGTCTTCCTGGGAATCGGCGTGGCCTGGTCCATCGCTGCCATCTACCATGCGGCCAACGGGGAACAGTTCAAAGTGTCCCCTGGCACGCTAGCTTTCTCTGTCACTCTCTTCACCATTTTTGCTTTCATCAATGTGGGGGTGCTGCTGTATCGGCGGAGGCCGGAAATCGGAGGTGAGCTGGGTGGGCCCCGGACTGCCAAGCTCCTCACATCCTGCCTCTTTGTGCTCCTGTGGCTCTTGTACATTTTCTTCTCCTCTCTGGAGGCCTACTGCCACATAAAAGGCTTCTAAAGGAACAATCAGATATAGTAAATTTATATATAAATATATATATATACATAAAAAATTATGGATAATGAACAGAGGAAACTGACATTTGTCATGTTCACTTACCTGCTGATGGCATCCAGCTTCAAGAGCATACTTTGTACTAGGGCCGAAGTGAGAGACCGTCACCTCCCATTCCCAAGGGCATCGTCACGTTGAACAAGGCATGGAGGCAGGGCCATCTTTGCAGCTCAGCCTAGAGGGCTGTGTTCTCTCCACGTTCATAAATCGTTAAGTCTTTGATTTGTTTTGTTTTTGCTTGTTTTTGATGGGGGTTGGGGAGGTGGTTGATGTTTGGCTTTTCTTTTATTTTGTTTTGTTCTGTTGGGAGGATCAGGATTGTTGCTTCTCTTGTGGGAGGCAATGACCAGTCTAAATGCAAATGGTTTTGTGGTAAAAATTGAAATCATTAAGATTACTCTCTCTTCCCCTACATACTTTAAAAATTATTTTGGATTAAGAAAGGATATGAGCATGGAAGAAGAAAGAAGCGTGTCTTCACCATATTACTAAATTTCGTGCTTATCTCTGGAACGTGAGCAGAGGTGAAGCTGCCTCTAAGAAGAAGCATGGGAGTTTGAACAGGGCTAAGAAAAGTGATGGTTCTAGATACAGTCTGATATTTAAAGATACGATGCCTGACACTCTTGTTCAACAGGTACAGGAATAACATGCCTAGATTCCCAGGAACATGCAAAATCCTTTCTTTCTTCTCTCTTTAGCTCTGGACTGTGATTAGCAAGGCCCTTATTCTGAAGTTCCAGCCCAGCTAAACCCTCAGATCCCCCATCCCAGCCCTCCTCCTCCTGCCCACCACCCTTCATGCAAACAGGAAGAATAACCCCATCCAAAAAGCACATCATCCTTTTCCATTTGCATCAGTATGTGTCCCAGTCCCATGTTGCTGTTGCCTGGGATCGTCCATCAGTTTTATTTTCAAAAGCATCCATGGCTTGCACAATCCTATTCCAGTCATGACTATTTGCTCCTTCTTCATGTGCCTGTTTGGGAATATTGTTGTAATACCTGTTACACAGTGCATGGATGAAAAACAAATAAAACAAAGTGTATCTGTATATAGTAGAGTATAGCATATACTGTTCTCCCATTCAGCGACGTTGATTGGACATGGAAGACATCAGTGAGTTTTCTTTTCACCTGAGTTGTAACTTTTGTGTTGTTATCGAGTTTGATTATTACTAGGGGTAAAAGGAGAAAATGGCTTATTGTTCATGGATCTGCACATTCATTTCTAAGAAGCAATAACTGTCACGCGAGAAGTTAAAGCTATCGAGAGGACAGCAGGCAAACTACAAAGTTTGTTCATGGAAAATTAGCCATGTGGAACACATCAGAGGCCTCTAAAAATCACCTGTTGGTTCAGGAAGGCCAAGGAGAAAGGCGTTGTAGAGAAGTGGATGCGTTAGACGTGCCTGGGCTTTGAAAGCCTCCATTTTCACAACACCCCTGCCCCCAAAGTATTTATTTTACATCTGCTCTGTCTGGCACAGATGGTAGATAGTGCTGGTTTGTTTGTTTTATTTTTTTATGTTAAAGGCTATTTTGAGCCCTGTTTCTTTCACCGTCCAGACCCCTCTCATTGTATCTGCAGTTCCTGAGTAGGAAGGAAGCCAGGGTGACCCATAGGCCTTTACAAGTGCATCTTCTCTGTTTATGACTAAGAAGTAAGCAATTAAGTGAGAAGATTAGTGCCTCCCAGGAGGATGGCCCTGGGAGGTTTTTAACCCTGGAAAAGGAATGGCTCTTTCTATTTCAAAATACCGAAGAGCATGGATGAACCCCACATTCCAAATTAGTGAGTCCACTAATGAGGAAAAATGGAATGACTTTGGTCCTCTCTCAGAGACTTCTCTACCTATAAAGAATCCCAGGCTGGAGACACCCCTGGCCTTCTGTATTGATTCAAAGATACTTAAGAAATAAAAGCAGTTGAGAGTTATTTTCTCTTCTTTCACTCAGTAATCATGATCATTCATCATTTAATGAACATTTGGTGATTGAATGAATAATTAAATTCTGGTTACCCGCTCAATACTGTGTTACTCTTGGGGACTAAACCATGAACAAGATAGCCAGATCCCTGCCCTCAGGGGGTTCACAGTTAATGTGATTGCTATTTCCATGAGTAAAAGTTAACACAGCCACATTGAAACAGTGGTATCTTGCAAGGAAAAACACAATTATAAACTCTTTTAACCTAACCACATTGAAACTGTACAAATACAATTGTTCAAATATCTATTTTCTTTAACCAAGAGAGTATAAAGTATAGGGTAGGAAAAGCATCCTCTGTTTCCTTGGCCAGTCTTGCAATATGTACATCTCCCCGTTTTAAACCAAGAAAGGCAATCATGTTGGTAATCCAGATCACTGAGAAGGCCCAGTTAATCCCAGTTCTTATCTTGTTGGATAACAGTACTTTTCTATGCCCCACACCTCTACAATTCCTCAGATCTCCTGAAGACTCATCCCTGACCTGGCATGGCCCAACACAATGGTGGCCTAACTCCTTTGGGGGCACATTCTAACCCATCTCTTTTTTTTTTTTTCTTTTTTGAAGATTTACTAAATGGAAAGCTAGCCTAGAAAAACCAAGTAAATATAGTCAAGGGATGTGAGTTTTTCAAACATTAGAAAGATTTTGCACTCATTTTTAGCCATATTTGGAATGTCAATAATCCCATAGCAAATTTTCACAGAAGACTTTTAAGAAATTCTTGCCATTGGTCAATTTTAATTTCAAAGCTTTTTGGTTTGTTTGCTTTTTAAGTTTTCATGTTATAGCGAAAAATGATTCTGGTTGTTCAGGGTTGTTAATAATTATAGTTGTGTAAAATTATTTCATTTTGTTTGATTATTTTATTTTGTGTGTATTGTGCACAGCTTTAGGGGAGAAGTGCACTAATCGTGCTGTTCCTTATAAATGGTACACATTATTGACACAGACAAAGTTTCTAATTGTTTCTGATTTAATCACTAGTGATACAGCATATTCTGTATGGAATGTTTTCTCTCTTCTCATTGTCATCTACTTCATTTTTTGTTTCATGTTTTGAAGAAATAAAGACCAAAAAGGTATTATTGTGCAATTGGTATCCTCATCTAAAAGAAAGAAAATAGATACCCAGTATTCAGCTCTTGCAAATGTCAACCCTTCGGTCATGCAACGTTTCCTTTTTAATGTCCTAAGAAAGCACAGTGGCAGAATATTGTCTATCTGACAGTGTTGAGATAAATGTTGGACTTTTCTCCATTTCATTAATTGTTTTCTTACATCTTTTAGTACCACTTTATCTACATCCTTTCTGCTTCTAAGAACATGAACACATAAATAGTTACAGGTCAGACCACTTTTTAGCATGAGTATTATATCAAATCAATCAATCCCAATAAAACTTTAAACAGCAAAAATAGTAATTTGTTGCCTAGAATAGCCTTGACCATTTAACAACCCTTCAGCAAAATTCTGTGGCCCAGAGATACTCAACCTCTTATAAGCTAATTTTATTTCTTTCAAAGATTCTGATTCACTTTCCACCAGTGAAGATTTGATAGAGCTTCACTTTCTGTGGTTCATAGCATAAACCCACTAAGGTTTTTCATTTTCAAGTAAAATAAAATGATAAAACATGCTGTTTTAAACAACCCTGCAGATATTCTGATAGTTGGCCTCATCCACAATGGGAAACCCTAATACAGTAGCTTTCCCCCACTGGTCTCACTATTAATAAAAGCTCACCATCTACACTGCTTTTTCCACCTGGGGCTTGATTCATTGTTGATCCACAGCCCAGGGTCCCTGACCCTGACCTGTCAAAATAAAGTGAGATTGACTGGTTTGCTCTGCATACATCTGAGAACTTTGTGGAAGCAATTAGAAAAATAACAAATTTCCTCTGGTAGATGATGAAGCCCTCCATTTTCTAATAGTGACAAAGCTTCACCTTCTAGAGAACGTGTTGGCCCCTTTAAGACTTCTTTCAGTGTTTCCTGGCTCAAGATGTGGAGTCTCTCTTTTTGATTCTGTTTTTTTTTTTTTTGTCTCTGATCTTGAGCAGTTCCATCCAGAGCAAGTCTTGAGTATAGTTTCATAACTTCAGGAACATCTGGCTATTTCACGATTGACAATGTACAGCATTGGATCTCACCCTGACCTACAACTGGCATTTGGCTTTTGTTGTAGTAATCACTTCACTTGGCCAAAGCATTCTAGCTGTTGGTAAAATTGAGCGTTTCAATCAATAAACAGGTGAATGCATTATGTCAAAGAGACACACAAAATCATGTTTATCTTACAGAAAAAGAAAGGTGCTGTTATGAGTGGATTCATTAGCTTTTGTTCAGATCTACCTACAGATTTTTGTTAATAGATTGCGTTTTCACTGTTCTTTTCAACCATTACATTCTTATCACTTCTGGCCACATTCATTATCTTCCATCGAGCACATTTCAAGTGTTGGGTGGTCAGTCCTGATGGTATTCCATCTACAGGGATAACACAGGAAGGGGAAATAAATGTAGTAGTCAGATATTTCATTTTTGGAGCTTAATCATGCCATGGTTAATCATCTCCCAAAGGAGAGAATGTCTTATCTATAGAAGGAGAAACCACTGAGTGGTGGGACTCCCAAGGGAGAGAGTGCTTCAGCTTTCCAGCTACAAGAAATGGTGAGTATCTAGCTTTCTGACTTTTTCTTTGCCTGCCAAGATATCCAAAAAGATACCGCCAGAGGCTCGACCAATTTTCAGTTTTGTCAAAGGTCCTCTGATTTAATCTCCTAAAGGACATTTAAATCAGTGGTTATTGTATAAATTATTATTTTGATTTATCTATTTGTAGGAAAAAACATTACTTCATAGCTTGAAAAGCAACACGACTTCGTAGTTAAAACTATGACCTATGTCTTTACAGGAAGACTTACTTGCCTGGAATCACCTTGTCTATCTGTAACCAATGCAGTACTTTACCTGGACCACCTGCTCACATTCTTGAGATCACGCTGTCCTAACCTTTTTCAAAGATCCAGAGAGGTGTCCCCTTGGGAATATGCAATCTTAATCTTTATTTTCCCTAATTCCAACCTTTGTAGTTCTTCCGTCACTACTCCCATCATATTCATTACCCTTAGTAGTGCTCACTATTACCTCTCAGCAATGGGGAAAAGGCTCATGATAAAGGTGCTCTGGGCATGTTTTTCTGAAAGTGAATTTATCATCAGAAAAATCAAACATAGTGATATTCCACCTAGAAAACAGTCGTTATATCATAGTATGGTATCTCTATAAATGTTTAGGACAGATTATGTCCTATAGCTACACACTACAGCAGTATTGTTGATTTTACTCCTTTTTGGATCACATTTTTCATGCTTCAGTTGCCATCTATCAATCCTTTTATTCTATCAATCTATGTAGGTAAGGATTGGGAATAAGGATCCCGCACCCACACATGCACACCCGACTCCCGTAAAAGTTTCTATAAAGGTGAAGTATGTAAACCATAGAAAAACACATAGCTTCCATGCCTCCAAAAAATACGAGTGGGTCAAATGCCTTTCTGTGGGTATTTCATTCCTAATATGCAAATAGTAGGAAAATTCACAATAACCAAACATACCGAAAGAGAAATTAGCTAACTTCAATGTTACTGAGTCAATTTTGGCAGTTAATGCACAGCCCAGTCCTCCTAATTTGTTGACTGCAAAGATACATCTACCTAGCCAAATCCAAGAGTGTACTGGGGTGGTGGTGGGGATATTAATTTACTGGAATTGTTATGTAGCCCTCTCTACTGGAAATTGCTTATTCACCTAGAAGGATCTGACCCAGAGATTTTCGAATAGCTTTTCTCTACATTTCCAAGTTGAAATAACCCACTTGTAATTTACAGAACTTTTTATTAGACCCCTTGAAGCCACATGGAAGGACAATAGATAAATTCTCTAAGGAGATCTTTCCTAAAACTGTGATTCTAGATTTACAATGATCCATTCTCTGCGGTGAAGATCCCATTCTTCCCAAGTGGAAGGAACAATTCTGTTAAATAACCAAATACATAACCACTTTTAAAATATTTCACCTAAAAAAAGAATAAACTAAATTATATAAATATTCAAGATAAAAGTGATATGATCCTTGGGCCGGCCCTGTGGCTTAGCGGTTAAGTGCGTGCGCTCCGATGCAGGCTGCCCGGGTTCGGATCCTGGGCGCGCACAGACGCACTGCTTCTCCGGTCATGCTGAGGCCGCGTCCCACATACAGCAACTAGAAGAATGTGCAACTATGACATACAACTATCGCCTGGGGCTTTAGGGGAAAAA